CTTCCCAGAATTTTCAGGATTTTAAGGATTTTCAGGATTTTAAGGATTGTATAAAGCTTTTAATAAAAGCCCGGCCTGAGCCAGGAAGATTATATTTTCCCCGGATTTTCAGGGTTATAAGGATGTTAAGGAATTTAAGGGCTTCCCAAAAATTTGAGAAACCCCTTGGGCTTCTTAAAAGAAGCGAAGCCCCTAAAATCCAAATAATCCTTAAAATTCCTTTAAACAATTGACAAGAAAGAGGCCCCCCATCAAATAGTACATAAAGGTCCTCCGTACATATATATATATATATATAATGCACACACTCACTCACTGCCTCTTGCCTCGGATCTCCCGCTTTTGAGTGGCTCTCTATCCCAGGACCTCCCTCTGCTCGGGCCGCGGACTCATGACGGGGACCGGGATCAACTTCACCAAAGTGCCCACACTGAGCAGGCCGAGCACCACCTGTCAGCTCTGTTTCAATCTGAGCCAGTGCTCTTCGCTCTGAGAAGAGTTTTCCAAGAAACCTCCAGCAAACCCATGACGATGACGGCGTAGAAGAGCAGCTCCTTTTGCTCAACGAGGCTCCAACTCACAAACAAAAAGCTCCCGCGTTTTTTCTGGACCGCAAGAGGAAGGCAGCCCCGATTCTGTTCTCCACTATGGGTATGCGCCGGGCTTGTCACTGTGTTAAGCTCCCGACCTTGCCGTGCTCCTGCGGGCATGTTCTGAGAGAACAAAAGCGCGTTCCCTAAATTCAAGGGCTCACTTCACAAAGAGCTCGTGCTTTTGCAGGAGTCTGTTCATGTGCGTCTCTCGAGGTTCGAAGCACAGCCTGGCTGACGGTGCCGGGCACGAGCACGGCCAGAGAGCCCGTGGCACCTGGGAAGCCAAAAAGAAGCCGAAATGTCTCAAGGAAGTTTCCACGTCCTCATGGCCCTCTTCGAGGCCCTTTCCACAAATCATCCCAGGCCGGCCCCCAAAAATGGCAGTGAAGACGGAGATAATCCTGAACACCATTGAACACCATACGGGCACACCAGACGCCGCTTGCAGCTTGACTCTTCTCCCGTCCAGGCGGAATTCAGCCCAACGTCCGGGGGCAGCCCAGCAGCAAGTGCAAAGGCGACGGCCTCATGCCGCAAGACACAACGTGTTTTCAGCCCTCCGCTCCACACAAACAAGCTGGATGGGGGGAATGGCATCTTTGAAAGCGGAGGGTGTTCTCGTGTTCTCTCTCGAAAAGTTGCCGAGGCCGTGGCTTCTGGGACAAGCGCAAGGGCCACAGTCAAACCGCAGAGGACCTCTCAAGTCGTCGCCCTTCTTTATAATTTGTTTTTCCCCCGTTCCCCCTTCAATTCCCTGAACATGCCGTGACAATCCACGCCTCCAGGCGAAAGTTAGCACCCAAAATGCGGGTGAACACCGAAGGCTTCGGAAGATCCTGTCAAAAACTACTCGCAGCTTCCAGCCAGGTGCAAAGCATTGCGCCTCTGTTTCCGTGCTTCCTTCGGAATCGCCTTGGAGAAGCACGTCTTTAGTTGGTGCGGTGGAAGGAACACTTTTACCTGCTGACTTTGATGGAGAACACAAGTTAAGGCCGACGCTAGCGACCACCATGGCTCTGCACCCAGGATGCAGGGTGCCCTCGCTGCCCGCCCCCTCCCCCCGGTCCCTGCCCTCTGGAAACCCAAAAGGCTGAAGTGAAGTGACATGCACGGGCTAGGGTCGCGTTATGGCGGTCTGATGCACAAGTACAGAGATTTGGCTTGCCTCACTGTTTTTCTTCTGGGTTGTGTATCAAGTCGAGGCATTTGGTGTCACAACAGCCAGTGCAGCCACTCCCGCGATCTTGGCCGTGACGCTAGATTGAACAAGGCAGAACCAGGCGAGACGGGGCTCAGAATCGAGAGAAAGTCGAGAGCCTCAAAAGGCCTGCCAGCCGTGCGCCAGCCGCACCTACCCAAGGCGCCCTCAGGGGTGGCCAGGCTCCCCTGCTCTCGTGCATGCGACTGGTAGGTTTCTTTTTCTCAGAAAACTGAGACTTGTTCTCAAGGACTTTCGGGACTTTGGGTCCGCTGCGCGTTGTCTCTGTTGAGTCAAAGCGCTCTGTTCTACTCTACACAAACGGTGCTTCGGCACAAGAATTGGCTTAGTGCCCAACAGTCTCCTGTTTGAGAAGTGCTTCGATTGTTTGTCGCCCCGCCTGCTGTTACAACCAACTTTGCAATCACGCAGGGCACTTCAACCGTCGCAACCCCCTTGCTGCTTTTCAAGCTTGCTTCAACCTATATGAATCATTATGAATCCCTTTCAAACCTTGTGCTTGCGCATCCCTTTATGAGCCGTGCAAGTTTCCTCATCGCGAGCATTGCAATTGCAAGCCCCCAAACTCCAAAACCTTGCATGTCCTCCCCAGCAACCACCGGCTTTCAGGCGTGCCGAAGCGGAGGCAACTCATTCTGCCCCAGCTGCAGCATCAACGTGGTGAACTCCTCACTGGCCTCCACAAGCGCATGCTAGCTGGGGTCTACAAGTCTAAATAAACAAACCCAGGCAGAGGCATGGTGGCGATTCATGACTGTATTTTGGCAAGGGGGAAAAACTGGGAAAGCCTTTAAACCCTCTGAAGAACATGTTATTGAATGTATAGAAAAAAGTATATATACATACATGTACATCTACATATACATGCACATATACCTAAATATGTATGTATGTGTGTGAAACATACCCTCTAGGATTTACCTAGGAACACATGTGCGCATGCATGCATTATGTGGTTGTTCCAAATATCAAGTCCCACTTTCGAAGGACATCCCGCATCTTTTCCCAGCCTAAGCTCCAGAGTTCTCTACGCGGCCATAGCTACATATGTATCTTTCAGAATCAGGGTGCGCAACACGAATCTCTGCGATCGCCTTTGCGATTGCCGCCTGCTGAAACCCGCGACCATGGCGCAGGACCCTTTTGCTGAGCCGTGAGAGCATCAGTCGTGCTTTGGCGCCTCGGTCTTTGGTGTTCTGAAAGTGGGGACGCCTTTGGGTGCCGCTTGAGTACTAGGTCTCGACATGTTGGGGTCAATGGTTTGTTGGCACCTTCCTCAGTTTGGGATCTGATGGGTCTGTTAAGGTCATCTTGCGATGAATCTTGGGAACAGCTTTGGGCGACTTCCAAAAACGAATCACTACAGCAAAACTCAACACCGAAGTCACCGAAGCCCTAAATCCCTTCCAGGCAGCGTGATTTAATCAATGCCGTGTGGAAAGATGTCAATCTTGCTCTATATATCTGTATATATATGATAGCTCAACCCCCCCCATGGACCAACCGCGAAATGAAAGGGACAGGAAAAACTAGTTGTTTTGGCGTGCTTTGTTTCTTTTGCGTGTTTTGCCTGATTTTTGTTTTTTGTGCTTTTTGTGCATTGTTGCACTTTGCTTGCATTTTTTGCACATTTGCACTTGTTTTTTCTTTTTTGCACTGTTGCACTTTTCTGGCTTTTTGCACTTTTTTGGCTTTTCGCACTGTTGCACTTTCTTGGCTTTTTTGCATTCTTTTCATATACTGTGTTTTTTTCTATGCTTGTCTTACGCATAGAAATCCAAAAATCCAAAAGTCCAAATTTGCTCGGACAATGTTTCCGGGAAGTTTGGATATTTGGATTTTTGGATTTTTGGATTTTTTGAGTTTTGGAGTTTTGGAGTTTTGGATTCTTGGGTTGTCTTTGGATTCTTGGGTTTTTGGATTTTTGGAGTGTTGGAGTTTTGGATTCTTGGGTTGCTTTTGGATTTTTGGGTTTTTGGATTTTGGATTTTTGAGTTTGGGATATTTGGATTTTTGGATTTTTGGATCTTTTTGGCTTTTTGGACTTTTGGACTTTTGGATTTTGGGATTCTTGGGTTTTTGGGATTTTGGGATTTTTGGGTTTTTGGATTTTTGGATTTTTGGATGTTTGATGATTTTTATGATTTTTCGCATTCGAGGATGGCCCACATTCGTTCTCCTGTTTTTGAGTGAAAGGAGGGCGACCATTCAAATGTACTTTTATCAGAATTTCAAATGCGTCCTACCTACTCGAAACGTGAACACTACATTCATAGCACAACTAAATAGCATATCCAATGAGATTTTGAATATGCTGTTTCTGTATGTGAGGACCAGGTAAAGTCTGGCCTATTCAGATCACTGAGAAAAGCACGTACATGGGTTACGCACAGGCCTTTGCTAAGGAGGCTTTAACAGAGAAGGCCTATATGTGCAAATATCGAATTTTGTGCATTTGAAAGAAGCTGAAGATCCTTTTTTCAATAAGAAGCATTCTGGGATCCCAGTACCTGCTGTTTAAGAAAAGTGTCTATATCTCATGAACACCCTTACTTTGCGATAACGATTTAGTTTTTCTGGTCCTTTAATTCGCTTAGAAAAACGCACAAAAAAGTGCAAAAAGGGCAACAAAAAAAAACAAGTTGTTTGATGGGATATACCGCGCAAACAGTAAGTGGACAAAACAGCACGCTCTTGTTTTGCCTTGAGCCAAATAATCAAGTCGGGTTTGCAACATGACTCTCCAGACACTGTACATGAGGGTGTGAGTACCTCTGTTTCTTCAACTCCCCCCTTCTGGAAGTCTATGTTGTGCAACGTTGAGGGTAAGTGTCAAAACAACCGCGTAACTATGCAACTTAGGGATATTCTACTGCCCCAATTGCAAGTTTCAACTCAACTCTGTATTAGAGGAGGAAGCTACACACGGCTCTTGTCGAGGGCGAGGCATGTGGAAGCCCGCATTCCTTGTTGTTGCTGGTCATGCCAAGGTAGGCTGCTCCAACCACGCGGCGCGTAGGCAACAAGCACGACTCGGTGCGCCAACGGTCCCTGCCAGGGAACAGTGCAGTGCTTTCGGGAAGGCTTGAAGGAAGCTGGAAGGTGCAGGATGCGACCAGGGAGGTTGCACTCAAACTGCGGGCACTGGTCCTCTCCGTCTGAATCTTGAACCCAAATGCCTCCACCGATCACCTGCGTGATTGGCAGTACAAGATTGCAGGCTCGTTCCACTGGTCATTGTGGATCTCGGCCTTCTGGCCACGGAACAAAGCAACTAACTGAGGTAACCGTGCGCTGCTGTCGTACAAACCGAGTTCAGGGAAAAGGCGGGTATTACTCCTCATGAGGTCGCCTTGGGGCTCGGCAGGCACCATCTCTTCAACGCGGCGAGGCACGCAGCCCGCAGCCGCACGTGGCAAGAGCATCAGCAGGGAAGGCTCTTGCTGCCTGTGCTCCGAGGCAAGGAAGCGTACTGGGACTGACATTCGACTCTACAAAGGCAACTTCACAACCACACCTACTTCTGAGGGCGGTGCGAAGACAAAAGACACAGAGGGCTCGTGCAAGCCAGCATGCGCAACCACCCCGGCTTCTGAGGGCGGTGCGAAGACCAGGCATGCAGAGGCTCGTACAAGCCAACTGGTGCAAATGCGAGACAGGATTTCCAGACCGCCCAGTCGCCCAGGCCCGGCGGCGCAACACGGCTCGGGCACGGTGGCTCCTGACCGCAATGCAGAGCTCTCTGCAAGAGGTATCCATGCAGCGTCTCTGCGCCCTCGCCCTCGCGCGTAGCCACCGCTCGAGCGATGTCCCACAGAACCCGCGCAGCCTGCTTGTCCCAGGCGGCTCTCGAGCACCATGGGCTGGAACTTGACACCCTGACGAGCGCAGTCATCCGCAGTCCCCATGTGCGCCGCCTTGACTGTAGCATACGCAGCCGCAGCCGCTGCCGCTTCTCGCCCCGCCTCCGCGAGGGACTCCAACCGCTGACAGTCACGGCAAAGTCAAGGGCGGTGGGAGTGCCTCGGAAAGCGGGCAAGAAGACGTCAGCGGGTCTGCGTCGAGCCAGCGCAGCTTCGTCGGGGCGTTGGGGAAGAAGAAGACCAGCTCGTTCCCGCTCAGGCTGTAAGACGCCACGTTCAGCCCAGGAGCACACCAAGTTGCGCACGGCGTTGTGCCGCAGCGTCCTTTCCCCGCCTGCAACACAACTGCCCGCGTGCAAGGAATGCCGGTCAAGCACGCCATCGCACTTGGGACACCAGGTGTCTTCGGCAGCGTCGGCAACCAGTAACCTGTGGCGGAGCTCCGTGACGAAGACTGCCGGCTCCATGGCTTGAGCATGTGGGGGGTGGCGGCAAGGAACGACCGAAGCACCGCTTTGGCCCACGGCTGGGCCGCAGCAAGCTGAGTCTCCCAGGCCACAGTGTCAGGGTGTTGGGTCCTCGAGCTGGCCAATGGCATCCAGCAAAGCATTGGCTTTGGCAGCTCGACTGCACATGTAGGCAGCGACGTAGGCAGCATCCCCGACGGCTGCACCCAAGAGCCCAAAGTTGCAGGTCACCCTGCTGGCTCCGTCAGGAGTTTCCAGGAGCTGCCGGGGAAGGTGTGCACCGAGACTCGCAGCGTCAGTCGAGCCCACCACAGCCGGACTGCCCGCCACCACGCCATCGTCCAAGTAGAGCAGCGCCAGGTCCAAAGGCCCACCGCGCAGTTCAGGCAAACAGCAGGGGACCGAGAGGGTCGCCCTGCTGCACACCCCCAGCCGATCGCAGTTTGGAGCTTCCAAATTGGGGTCAGTGGGCTGTCGGTAGCACCAGGCCGTCCAGCGAGACATGTGCGGGAAGTGGGCAGACACTGCTGCCAGCATGGCTGTGCGGGAGAGGGAATTGAATGCGTTCTCGAAGTCGAGCTTGACAAGGACGCGATTCGTACGGGGCCTAAGGGACCTCAGGTCAAGACTACACTCAACCCTCACAGCACAAAGCGCGGACTCTTTTCACTGCGCTGTTCACAGATTCTCGAGCTCCGCTCGTCTTGAGGCAAAGCGAGCACGGCTCTCCAGCTTCAAACACAGTCTGCCAGACGTGGGAAAACAGAGGTACTTCAGGTATAACACTCAGCCATGGAACTTCTACTCTTCAAACACTTCAAGCATGTTCCTAGCACCTCTTAGGTGCTCTGCTGAGCTTCGTGCAGCTCTGAACTGGCTTGAGTCACTTCTGGTCACCAGATACCGGGTCACAAACAAGAAACGAGTTCCGATAAACGAGTTTCGAGAAAACGAACAGAAAACGGCTCTTCCTACTCAAAACAAGGTCAAATCCGCACTGCCTGACATGTCCTCGTGCCTATGCTTCACACTCAAAGCAGACAACTCAAGCGCACATCACGTGTCAACTGGGAAACTAGAAGGGTCACACATATCACACGAAAGCGGACTGCGTCGCTAGCCAGTTAGGCTCTTCGGAACCGAAGTCCCGGAAAGGTTAACAGGTGAAACAGTGAGAACAAACTACTCTCGGGAATACCTTGGCCTGCTAAACACGGCCGCGCTTGTGAAGGCATCCGGAGATGTTACGGTTTAGGCTACGGGCTGGGAGAAACTCTCCATCCCTCAGAGTCTTAGCCAGACTGACGGGAGATTCTCGCCGCAGCACATAAGGGAGAGACTCACCTTCTGGCTCATCGCAGGTTTCTGAAACAGGGCCCTCCCGAATCGATAACACCCTGATCGCTGAGATGACTCCAGAAGGGCTGACACTCCATCAGCAACGTTTCAGCACACGACCTGGGGTATAAGCCAACATGTTTGAGCTTGTCGCGCAACCAGCCCTGGCGAGAAGGGCTAAAATCCGACACAAGCGACCAGAAACCTGCCCAACCATGTTTGGCATCATGTCCCTCCCACGCCCATTCGTTCGTGTCGTAAAAGATGAGCTTCGGTTGGGGGGAGTTGGCCGTGGTGCGGCTCACAGCTACATTCTTGGGACCTAAGTCACGTAAGGTCCAACCTGCTGCACGAAGAGAGGTCAATATGATGGCCATGTAGCACAGGAATTGGAAACAGCTCTGGCTTCCAGCACCGAATCGGGTGAGAACCTCAACCCCGGATACACATCGCTCTTGAAGTGACATGTAAAATGGAAAATCTTTCTCTCCACCTTTCCAGTGTAGGCGGACTCGCACAAGCCCATACCAGTAAACCTTCGCTGTCAAGTGGGGAAAAAGGTTACTGATTCTCGCCTCTTCGGCTTGGCTCTCATCAGAGAATTTCCATACCAGGGGGGCTGATTCGGCGACATAGGCCACTCGCGTACGACCAAAATTGTTCATACTCAGATCCATTGGATCCCGGACATGGAGGCTTTGAGTGATGTCGTGGACCATGGCTAAGCTGAAAGGAAGGTAGTGTAAAGGCTCCTTTG